CCCCCCCCCCCCCCCGCCAATGTGCTGGGCCAAGGGGACTGTAAGCACTCCCTGGCTCTGCGGGAATGGCGGAGGGGACGGTGCTGTCACCTCTGCTAGTGGGCCTGAGGCTGGTGGTCACCCTGCTCCCGTGTGGGTCCTGGGGAGGAGCAGGAGTCCTGCGGGGCCCTGAGCTGTGCCCATGAAGCTCTGCGTGGTTCCCCTGCACCAAACCCTGCACCGTCGTCCCTGAGCCCTAATTAACCTCTTTGTCAGGCGAGACGGGGCAGAGAGTGTGTTTGGGCCCCACTGGGTGCTGGGAGAGTTGGGGTCATATTCCTCATCCCAACCCCCCAAGCCCCACTGCCCTGTACTGCCTTTGTCCCCATTCCTGAGCTTTACCCCAGCCCACGGGGATTGCCGGTGGGATCTACCAGACTGCGACAGCCTGGAGAAACCCATTATCCTGCAGTGACTTGCTCGCTCCCTTCTTCCCCCTGGGGTCTCAGAGCCCCTTGGCGCTGCCCCAGGCTGTGGGCATCGGTGGCTTGTGGTGCTGGAGTCTGGGAAGGAGGTCTGGGGGGAGATGGAGAGGAGAGCCCATCTCCCCTTTTAGGAAGGCTTCGTACTGGGGGTAGGAGATCAGCAGTTGTTTGTTGGGATTTGCTGCACCATTCCTCTGTTGGGGTCCTTCCTCACAACCTGGTGATCCCTCTGCCTTGGGTACTCACAAAATCAGGCTTTTTCCGCTGCTGCGGTTGAAGTTCCATCAGGCTGTGGGAGCAGGGATGCAGCCCTAGTGCTGGGGGATTCAACTCTTCCTCACCGTGATGCTGTTGAGAGGTCCTGGTCCTCCCAGCTCTGCGGGCCTGGGCTGCTCACAGGATGCTCATGCCCTTGGCACCCACTGCTGGGGGATGCTGGAGGTGCTTAGGAGGTGCTTGGGAGGGCTAATGCAGTGATCCAGCCACTAGCCACAACCCTGCCTTGCTTTACTGCTTGGCCTCAGGCCACCGCTGTAGGGTATATCTGCTCCAGCTCAAAACTGGCCATGCTGGTCTGGGGGGTTAGATGCAGGTGAGTGCTGAAGCTGCCATCTCTGCCAGGCAGAGCCCCCTCTGTGGCACACGGCCCTGGGGAGACCTCTCGGATCAGCCCTGGAGCATCTGCTGCTGGTCCTCGTCTTAGCTGGTGCCTCCTCACCCGTCTCCCACCCTGTGCTTGCCCCACAGGGGTGCAGGACCAGGAGAAGTCCCCGGAGGAGACCGCCGTCCCTGCCCGCAAGCGGACCCCCAGCGACAGCCACCATGAGAAGAGCTCTCCGGAGCCCAGCTCGCCCCGCAGCCCCACCATCCTCTCACCTGAGGTGGTCAGCACCATTGCGGCCAACCCCGGAGGAAGGCCCAAAGAGGTGTGCTGGGGTGGGGGGTGGCTGGTGGGGTGCAGCCACCTCCGGGGAGGGAGAAGGCTTGGAGAGGAGTATGGGGCTTTTAGCATCCATGGCATCCTGCAGGGTCAGGGGTTATTGATGCCTTTGGTGGTGGTGGTGTCCTAGAGGGTCATGCCCATCGTACGAATGGGACTGACCCTTTCTCCTGCTCTCCCCAGCCTCACCTCCACAGCTACAAGGAAGCCTTCGAAGAGATGGAGGGTGCCTCCCCCACCAGCCCACCCTCCGGCGGCGGTGAGATTTCTCCCCCCACCCCAGCCTTCCCCGTCTCGCCACAAACCCCTTACTCCAACCCCTGTAAGTGCTGCGGCTCCGGGAGGTGGAGGGACTTGGTGGGTGGCTCTCGGCAAGCCACAAATTTGGCAAGGGTCAGACAGCTCTGGGCTCCAGACACCCACCACCATGTTAATCACTCCTCCTCTCCATCCTCCTCTCTCCTCCACATCCCACCACTCCATGCTGCCATCAGCATCCTGCTGCCGTCAGCATCCCATGCTCGGCACCCTCCTGTTGGCTTTTTCCCACCCTCCACTCTCTGGATGAGATCCCAAGGTAGGATAAGGACAGAGGCAGGGTCCAAAAGACAGCATCCTCTCACCCCATCCCAGTACTGCATCTCCCCATCTTTCCTACCGGCATGGCAAGAAGGGCGACAAGGCTGCGGTAGCAGGCGAGCCAAGGGGAGGCAGGAGGGACTGAAGACCAGGAGGTGGCTCGGGGCAGACCCTTGCACGTTGTGCTACTTCTTGCTCACTGTTTCCAGGGCGGAAGGGGAAAAAGGCTGTGAGACGCCAGCCCTTTGCACGCAGCTTGTCTCTGCTCCTCTGGCACGGCATGCCTTCTTTCTGACTAACCCTGACTGCACAGTCATGGTGGGTTTGTGTGGACTGGGTTTGTGTGACCACCTTGAGTGACGAGCCCTGATGAGCAGCCTTAGGTTGGCACAGCACGACTTGGGCTGGACCAGTGCAATGGAGCAGCCGGTCAGCTGGGAAACCCACCAAAAAGATGACAGCCCTCCCAAAACCACTTTTGTAGGCTGGGTGCTGAGGGATGCTCTAGGGCTGGGGTTGCTCTGGCTGGGTGCAGCCCCCTCTGGTGCCATGTCCTGGTGGCAATGGGGCCGCCTGCCCCCCATAGCTCAGCCCATGGGGCTCGAGGCTGTCTCCTGTGCTGTCGCTGTTCCTCCCCTGCAACACGCTGGTGTATGAGCCCCATGTCGTAGGATGCAGTGACTGGAGTGTGGGAGCATCCTTGGGGCGCTTGGCAGCTCGGAAATGGCCTCGTTGTTCCCGGGGACCTGGAGAGCTCATCCCCGGGGCAGCAGCTCCTTGGCAGAGGAACAGTGGCTGTTGTGGGGGATGAGTCACTTGCAGAGGTGACTGGAAGAGCCTGGCTGGGGATGTGGCCCGGAGGCAGCGTTTCTCAGCCAGCACCAGCTGGGGAGGCCCGGAGGGTTTGAAGCTGCAGCTTGCAGGCTTCACCAGAGTACCCCCGAGG